ATGAACAGCAGTGGCAATAGGAGGGGAGGAACCACAGGAGCTCTGACTCGCATCTGCTTCAGCTGTTGTGGAAGTGCCCTGTCGAGTGTGACATTCAAGAGCCTCTCCTGTTCAGAAATAACTCTTTGGATGTCTCAAAAATGTTTCAGAAGCATTGATCAAAAAAGGAAAGCATGATAAGACTGTGATAAATAATATGAGAATGAGAGGCAGACTAGCTGAAGCAAATCTCTTACCCACGCTTGCCCTTAAACCTGAAGCCCATTCACACACTGCTTTGATCATGCAGGCTTTGTGGGACTGGATCTTTATCACGTCTCCCCTGCACTATTAAGCAGCCTTCCTAATAGATCATCAGCAGAAACTACTAGAATATGATACTCCAAGAATATTCCATATTTTGGAATGCCCAGCTCCATGAATGTTGTTTCATACTTTTATTCAGCTCTGTATTATTGATTTTGAAATGGGAAGACCAGAATTATACCCTGCATTGAATGTGCATGTGAACCACAGAGCTACCTAGTTTGGGGCAAATGTCATCCTCTCTAACCTGGATAATAAGTCTTTTTTTTTAAATTATTTTTTCTAAACCACTACTGAAGTAAGTTTTTTCATGGGTAACGTTTTAAAATATCTGTCATAGCCCCAAGATCTTGATCTTGAATTGTAACAGTCTTTCTTCTTATTCTGCAGTTGATTAGTTTTCTTTAGAGTCTTTGATAATGGACTTCACTGAAACCTTTTTGAAAATCTACATATACTTTATCAACAGCTCTCTTTACCCACTTTTGTTGATGCTCTTGGAGGACTCTGATAAATCGGAAAAATATGACTTCCCTTTACAATAAAACCCCCAGTCTCTCCTTGATGTATTCATGCCCCCTAGTTCTTTCCTTATTACCACTTCTAATCACTCGAGTAATACAGACAGCAGTTTTATGGGCCTATAACCTTTTTAAAACAGAGCAGGATCAACATCTGCTTTTTTCCAGCCTTAAGATAGCAAGGCAATTCTAAGCAAGTCATCTACCACAGTTCCTTTAGAACACCTGAGTAAATACAAGTAACTTGGAAATGTATGATTTTTTAATTGCATAATCTTTTTGGTCTTTAGCATTTGAGACAGAAATTCCAGTGACTCCTCCATAAAACAGGATTCCAGCTTGTAAACCTCCCCATTTCCTTCTGTAACAAACACAAATAGGTCATTTAGCTTCTCGTTTATGGTTTTATTTTCTTTGAGTGATCCTTTTGAACCCTGATTATTTATTGGCTCTGCAGAGTGCCTGTCAGGCTTCTTACTCCCAGGATATTGAAAGAAGGAAGGAGGAATTACTTGCATGCTTGACTTACTCTGTTAGGATGAAGGTATTAGGATATGAGCTTGTTCATTATTTCTAAATAATAAGGAACTGGTTTGTGTTTTTTACCACAGCGTGTAGGAAAATGTGAAGCCAAAGCATACAGAAATCCTCAGGCGCAGATTCTGGATACTGCAAGCCAATGCAAACTTCCAGGTATGATGTAGGCACTATCATTTTTTAAAGTTCTGCCATTTCCAGTGTTTTTTACAATTGTAAAGGAAGACAAAATAAAAATGCAAGAGATGACAATAGATGAAACCAAGAGAAACCAATTCTTATGGGACCAAAAAAGCACTGCCTTTAAATGAAATATTACCCCGGATTTTTTTTCACCTTCTACAAGTATCTCATATGCAGCTGAAAGTTATGTTTAATGATTTGTATACATGACATGGAGCTGGTTTCTGACTCTCATTTGGAGATTAACAGATACAAACACAAGCAGTATAACTGTGCTACAAAAATTAATTCCTTTTCTAGCGCAATGACAAAGGGGTTAAAATCCCATTGTTTAACTACATAACAACTTCTAACTTCCCAAAGAGCTCCAGTGTATTCTTTTGAAAGGCAAAGGAATTTCTGTCCAAAATTGTTAATTCACCTATTGATACTATCAGTATCTATTTCACATTGCATGGCTATACTTACATTTGATATGTTAGGGGCCTTTTTTTTCCCCAGTAAATAAATTACTTAGAATCTATAAATTCATTCTAGCCAAACTCCCGCATTCTT